GTATGGACACAACAAATTTATCTCCACCACAGATTATTCAGTTTCAGAATCGTTCCAGCGGCGGTGGGCGGGGTGGGTTACTTTTCTCCTACACTAGGCATAGCGATTTCTGTGCGGACAGAATAGCAGACCAACCTGTCTTGTTACCTGTGCGAGCAATGATGCCAAAGGCGACTGCTTTGTCTGACTGTCTGTCTGTCTGTCTGTCTGTCTGTTTGTTCCTCTCTCCTCTCTCCTCCCCCCTCCCCCTCCCCCTCTCTCTCTGCTCTGTCTGTCTGTCTGTCTCTCTCCATGTTCGATGTTGCTGCACCTACGCCCTTTTTCGCGTTTGCCGCCAACCGACCACGACGCCAACAGACGACGTACCACTTCAGGTGTTCCGAGAGGGACGGCGACGAACGCATCGACGAGTTCGTTCAAAAGGCATTCCGGTGGTACTGCGAGGAGATGAAGTCCACGGAAGACCAAGGCCGATACCTGTAAGACACATCACCATAACACTGCTGAATACAGTAATGGTCCTCAATAATGGGAGGTTTTGGTGCCGCTATAGAGGGCAGTGCCGCTATTCTTAGTAGGGATTGTTCTGAGAAATGCATTTGTGCAAAGCGATTTCGGTGCCGCTACAGAGGGCATTCCGCTATTGAGGGTACCGTATTGAGGACCGCTGACTTTGCGTTTTTTTTAGTGTTTGTGTTTAGATCGTTGAGGTTCGCTGGGCTTAGGGTGTCAATGACACGTCACGTGTTCGACCTTGGGAAACATCACTGATGGCAGCCGCTGGCAGCTGATTCACACAAACGCATGCTTTATTTTCATCTTGCATCACGCCTTGATGACACCGCCGCTTCTAGGCTCTGATGAGCAGCCCACTCCGGAGGCGCGCCTTGTATGCAAAAGACATGATAACAGTAGAACACATCGAGATAGATGTATGCACACTGCCGTGTGGTGGAGAGTAATTGGTCATGCAGCCGCGTGGTGGAGAGTAATTGGTCATGCAGCCGTGTGGTGGAGAGTAATTGGTCATGCAGAGTGCAACATGCCAGACATCCCGACAACTTATTGAGAGCCTAAATTTCATCTAAATCTTGGCGAGTACGAGCGAGCTGAAATGTGCCCCCCTGTGTATTGAGAGTGGTTGATCCCTCAGGCAACGGAAATTCTCCAGAAGCTGGATACATTTTCCTCTCTGACTGTTGTTGGCACACCTAAATCTGTTGCTCTCGTCGTACCTTTCTGTCTTCCTGCTTGGTTTCTGTGTAAGAACTGCTTGGAGTTTCATGCGCGGCACTGCAGCAGAAACATCAGTAAAAACAGCAGCTTCGAGAAAGATTCGCTTCTTTTTTCAAGTTGTCCATCTTGTCGGCCCGAGCTGTTTCGAGACGGTATGTACGTTGGTCTCACGTTGCCATTTCTTTCGGTTCGACCGCGGTGAAGATATCGAAACCGCGTCGCTCGTGACATCGTGCGTGCACCGTCCGGCGTGGCAGTTACACGCTTATCGCGAACGAGGAGTTTGCGTCATCGGCTGGGAAGGACAAAGGGGAAGGACCCGTCAGAAAGTGAGTAGCGCAGCCATATCTTGTTGTATTGTTCTCGAGAATGTACCTTGCTGTTCTGCGTGCTACATACCCGCCGGTAGAGGAAGTGCGCTTGAGAGAGTGAAACACTGGAACATCTGGCCTTGCATCGTTTGGGTTCGGAAGTGAGTACCGTAGGTTGCGTAAGATATCACCCCCCCCCCGTTAAGCTCGATTACTGCACGACGAAGAGGATGCCACAGCGGCCATATGATGCATTGTGTGTCTTGATTCCCTCCGTCTCTGTGGTACCCCAAAGCTTCTCACCCTGTCCTCGGCTTAGCGGTGCCCTAACCCCTATGTACGTCAACCCCGACCCCGACGTTTAAGGTACAAGCGCTACCGCCTGAGCGACGGCAAGGACTTTGACAGCCTTTTCTTCCCGGAGAAGGACGCGCTGTTGAGGATCCTTCAGCACTTCGAGGATAAGAGTGGTGAGTGGAAACGAAACGAGATGTCCAAGGTTTAAGGAGAATCAACACTTTCTCCGCCCCCAGCTCCAATGCCGACAACGTGAACAGTAGAGCCAGCGAGCGCTATTCCTGTGCGATTGCAGGCGCTGGTGATACAGGTTGACCCCCGGCCTATTAGCCATTCGACTCGAACTTCCTGGGCCCTTGGTGGTACCGCCAGCCCCGTTGAACGCGTACGTCGAGTTCAAGGGGGTTGGGTTGAAATGCAATTTTGGTGCGTGACATCTCTCGAGTACATGGGAGTCGCGGCGACCACAAATACAACCTTACCATGAGCGCGAGGCCCGAGAGAGGAAACGAAACGATCACTGACAGATAGCCGAAAACGTTACTGTGTCCATTACGCACAATAGTGGGGCCACCCCAAGACCCACCGTGGCTGCACG